CTTCTCCCTCTCCCACTCCCGCTGCTTGTGTTCCCTCTCTCGCTGTGTCTCTCTCTGTCAAATAAATAAATAAAATCTTAAAAAAAAAAAAAAAAAGTTCTATAACAACTTTCTAACTGGTATTTTCACCGCTAAATCTTGACTCTTCATCTTTCTTAGTCCAAAAGATTTGTCCTCCCTAATCAAATGTTTAACCCCAGCTAATCAGAAAGCGTGGCTGAAGGGCACCAGGCTGGCTCATTCGGGAGAGCGTGTGACTCTTAATCTCGGGGTCGTGGGTTATAGCCCCACATTGGGTTGTAAGGATGACTTAAAATAGATAAATAATATAAAAAGAAAAAGCATGGCTGATTCCCAGCTACCGTCAAGGTAGGTCTCAGAGACTCGGCATGAGAATCAAGGCCATTGTGCTGACTTCACCTGCCTTTCTAGTTCTTCAAAAACTCTGTTTCCTAGCCATACAGTGCTGCCATCTTCTCCTTTCTACATGAGGCCTGTATCCTTCAGCTCAGTTTTGAGGGGGTTCTCCAGGTAGCATTTTCTCAGCCTTGTCTCCTGAAATCCCACACCCCAACCACTCAGTTCCGGGTTCCTGTGTGCAGTTTACTGAGCTGCCAGTCGAGCGGTTTCTCTCACTTAGCCGGAGGCTCCCTCATTCCCCGTCCTTAATCAGAGAGTCTTATTCCAGGGCACAGCCAGCAAGAAAAGGGTTGCGGGCGTGTCATGATATCTGTCAAATACCTGCACGGACCCCGTGAGGACAGAGGTGGCTGTGATGGCCGTCTGGCTGCCGTCCACGGCCGTGGGCCAGAGCGCAGGAGGACGGGGCCCGCTCCAGGCTGCCGGTGGCCGTGCCCGGCCCCTGAACCTTCTCTAGCAGATGGCTTTGCTTCCGCGTGGGACCGAGTTCGGCCAGAGCCAGGCAGGCTGCAGCAGATTCAAAGCATGGACAACGTGATTGGACTTAGGGAATTGTAAAAATAAGGGTTCCTTGGACATGACACTAAACTGTGTATTAGTGACAGTTTCCCTGTTGTATATGGGGCTTAAAACCTCAGTTTTGTAGCAGGCATAAAAAGCTTGCTAATTGCAGGGCTGCCTGGGTGGCTCAGTCAGTTAAGCGTCTGCCTTCGGCTCAGGTCGTGATGGGATCGAGTTCCACATCAGGCTGCCTGCTCAGCGGGGAGCCTGCTTCTGCCTCTTCCCCTCTGCTCGTCATGCTCTCTGTCAAATAAATAAATCTTTATTTTTTTTTTAACACTGTATTTATTTGAGAGCGAGCACAAGCAGGGAGGAGGGACAGAGGGAGAGGGAGAAACAGAATCCCCACCGAGCAGGGAACCCCATGCAGGGCTTAACCCCAGGACCCTAAGATCATGACCTGAGCCAAAGGCAGATGCTCAGCCAACTGAGCCACCCAGACGTCCCTAAATAAATCTTTAAAAAAAAAAAGCCTGCTAATTCCAAAACATGAAAATGATTTCTTTTATAGTTGGACCCTGGACGTTTTTTGCACGGGGAGCCCCAGGCCCCCCAAAGCCTTGCTGCTCACCTGGATAACCAGGTTCCAGATGAGAGCCCCAGAGCCACTTTCTGCACCAGTGAGGATGACCCGGTGAGTTGCTAGTGTCTATGTAGACGTTTTTGTAGGCCTTATAATTTGTGTTGCTCTCATTTTACATATCAGGAAAACCGAAACCCAGAGACGCGAAGCAGATCTGCCTGTAGTCAGACATTGCACCCAAGACAGCGTTCTGGAGCCCACATCAGCCTCCTCCCCGTCCGAGGCTGTGGGAACAAAAACCTCAGGCCAGTCCACACCGGATTTAATCCCTGCCACTGAAGGCCACTCGTGCCCAGGATTTCGTCGGGCACAAAGCGGGTCAATTCCTTAGAAGTTACGTGTGGTAGTTATTGATCTTACTGTAGGGTGGGTTGGCAGACTTTTCTCCTTACAGACCAGATAGTCAATATTTTAGGTTTAGGAGCCAAAGTGGTCTCTGTCACAGCTACTTAGCTCTGCCATAAACAAGTGGGTGGGGCTTTAAAAAATAATAATTACTACATAAATAATTATAACTAAAATAATAAATAAATATATAAGACAAATAAAAGCTTATTTACAAAAATGGGTAGCCAGCTGTCGTCAACCAGCCCTTAAAGAAGTCAACTTGCCCAGGATCGCGTGGCTGGGCAGCTAGAGAACCCAGTTCTCCTGTTGGCCAGTCTGGTGCTATTTTCCACCTTTCTAGGCGGGTTCCCTAGTGTGTGGAGGGGAACGAACCTGATTTCGTGAGAACAGCCTTGAAAGTGAGGTTTGTCAGCAGAAGCCAGGGTTCTGGTTAGCATCCAGTGTTGCATTTTCTCCTTCCCCAGCCTCTCCCCCATGACAGTAGTCGTGTGGTCTGGGCATAAACGTGAAGGGAGCCGGTCACCTCCCTCTCCCTCTTGCACCTGCTCCACCTTCACCTGCACTGTGCACACGGAAGGGAGGCCGGAACTCAGTGCCCAGGACACCAGCTCCAGGGGGAGTGGGGGGGTCGTGATGTCTCTGGCGCTCACCTACTTCAGAAGCATAAACTAAATTGAATGAGGGAAGTCACTGAAGTGTCTTTCAGTTTTCCTTGAAATCCTAGTCCCTTTTTGGCCAGTTCCTCTGGGGTTTCTATGGAAACAGTGGTGTGCAGATGATCTTGTCACATGACCGGAGCATCTCCATACACAGCGCAGAAGAATCCAGATGGCAGGAATTGTCTGTTACCTCCACATGCAGGTTTACGTTGCCGAGCAACTGGCTTCGTCCTGGAGCCAACAGCCGCTTTATAGACACACTGTGGATTTGAGGACAACCACCAGCATTTTTTGTCTAAGATAGGAAATGAAAGACATCTTTTCTAGCCCGGAGAGATTCCAGTCAGTCCTTAATACGGTCCCGCCGGCCCTTCCCACTTTTGTAAAGTGCCTGTCCTTTTGTGGCCCCGTTGTAGCTGTCGGCATTTTTGTTTCCCAGGCCAGGCACGGGGAGCAGCATGAGGGCCGGCACTACCGCATTCCCCTCCAGGACCTCAGGACGGTCTTCCCCCACGGCCTGCCTCCTCGCTTCGGCATGCAGGTGCTCAAAACCGGACGGGATCCGAGGGAGCTCGGGACACACGCTGTTGCGGGCAGAGGGTGGGATTAAATGAGTACGAAACTATAACAGATGAAATTTGAATCTAAAACAGATGAATTTGGCTATTGATTATCTTTGTAAATAGTGCTGTTCCTATAATTACTTTAAGTCTGTGTATTTGTGGCTCACCATTGAAGGCACAATAATCGTAGATAAATAGTATCCTGCTATTTTCCTTGTTCCCCACCTGACAGATTTCTAGAACCTATGGCATTCAAATAATTGTTTATAATGAATTTAATATTTGCCTTAGCATAATACCGTGAAAATAATTAGCATGCTGTAGAAAAAACAAAATCATGATCTATTCCTGAGCCAAATAGAATTGATATTTGGACTTAGATGCATTATTGTTCTTCATTCTCATGGATTTTCAGAAAATGTAGTTTTGTGGCTGTAACTTCAACCCAAACCTCTAATCTTGGGTTGCTTTATAGCCCTTGAAAGAATTCAGGATCAACTGCAAGCATGGTTGTTGGCATAATTGGTTCTCTTGACTCACTCCCGCTGAATTCCTGTCAGCCTCAGAGATGGTTCCTTCTCACTGAAATAGCAAACTGGTCTGTGCAGGTGATTTTTAGCTTCAGAGCCAGAGGATCGCACTCCTTCCGTGTCCTTTATTTCAAGAGATTACATGAGACACCAGTAAGGGAGCTAATTCTAGACTTGTCATCAGAACTGTTAAATTGGGGTGGGGGTACTTAAATTTGGAAATGGGATGCAACCAGAAGAAATCACGTGTAATGGTACTTAGACCCCTGGCAAATGCAGCGCGGCTTCTGGCTTCTGCACTGTAACCATGTCCAGTTGCTTTCAGACTGGCCTGACCACCGGGCTTTGGAGGGTATTACTCATACATTCTTTCCATTTACGTGAAGGCCAACTCCCTGCCCATTGTTTGTGTATTTTAGCACTGTCATATTGCCTAATATGGCATTTCTGTTTTAATATCTGTATCATGTTTTCAAAGGTTTCACTTTCCATTAAGTTTGAACTTGCCTGTCAAGTCCTTCTCCAATCCAGTTGTGTGGTTAGGGTTTCTTTAAAAATTCCAACACTATCGGGGCGCCTGGCTGGCTCAGTCAGTTGAGACTCCGACTCTTGGTTTCGCCTCAGGTCATGATCTCAGGCTCGTGGGATCGAGCCCCAGTTCGGGTTCCGTGCTCAGCAGGGAGTCCGCTTGGGTTTCCCCCCTCCCACCCCCAGTCCCCCGCTTGTGCTTTTGCGCTCTGTCAAATAAATCGTTAAAAAAGAAAATACCAACACTATTTTAATCCTTATCTACTTGTGAATAGTACTTGTTAGGTATTTGTTCTCATTAAAAGACATCATTAAATCCTTTTCTGCAAATTACTGTCACACGTATCAGTGCTTCCCAGATTTTTCCACCAAAGTATTCCTGGTGACAAAAAGGGATTGAACCTTGTGTGTCAGTTCTCTGGCGTCCAGTGTGGCCCCCAGGCTGTGGGGTCCCCGGTCACACCTGCTTCTGAGCTGCCATGTATGTTTCTAGAAAAAAGTCCAGATACTTAGAAGAATGAGCTAAAAATAGATTTAAAAGAATTAACATTTATTCAGTACTTACTATGTATCAGATACTTAGTTAAACATTTTACATTCTTTTAAGATGGTAATCCTAAGTGGTTTACTAGCTATGTGACAAGATGGCTATCGATTATTTGTAGATTTCAGTTTACTGATGTAATATATCTCGGCTTCATTAACAGAAATCATCAGAAGGTGCCTATTGTGTTACTGGGTGTTTTAGCTGAATTCTGTGGATAGATTTTCCAGCTCAGTACCAGCCCAGCCTCTCCTGAGTGCGCAGTTGGGCGCTCTGGTCGCCGTATTAGGCTCAGTGCCCCACGCCCCACCCCGCCCTCCTTCCCTTTTTTGTCAGGTGAGGACATTCAACGAAGCTTGCCTGATGGTGAGGAAGCCAGCCCTAGAGCTTCTGCGTTACCTGAAAAACACCAATTTTGCTCACCCAGCTGTGCGGTATGTTCTCTGTATCCTTTGCTGTCTGCTGGAGCCGTCCTGACCAATGAGGGGAAAGAGGAGGGGGGAAGGGGCCATTTGCTGATAGGCCAGGTGACCCTTTCGGTGATGTTTTCTTTAACCACAGGTGCTTTAGATGGGGAGACGGGGACAGGAAAAACCCTCAGTCTTTGCCATGTTATTCATTTCTGTGCAAAACAGGACTGGCTGATTCTGCACATTCCAGATGGTAAGAAGGCCCTCTCCTCACTGTTGCGGCCCGGGCATCGGGCTATGGCCCGGGAACAGCTGGGCGGAGCTCGCCCATCCTGACTTCACAGTAGTCACAAGCCCGTTGCATGTGATGTCAGCAAGTGCAACAAGAGAAGTGCAGCGGAAACCTTCCGAGAGCCTTTTGATAATAAGAATGAAGTATTTGGGGGGCGCCCGGGTGACTCCGGCGGTTGAGCGGCCGACTCTTGGTCTTGGCTCTGGTCCTGATCTCAGGGTCGTGGGGCCGGACCCGTGTTGGGCCCCGCACTCAGCCAGGGCTCTGCGTGAGATGCGCTCTCTGTCCCTCCCTCCCACACTTGCCCCTGCGTGTGTGCTCACGTGCTCGCGCTCTCAAATAAACCTTTAAAAAGAAAAGAAGTGTTTTGGCCCAGCAGTCCTCACTTGGATGAAACCCCCAGAGCTTGAACTCCCACCTTAGAGGGTAGCACAGGCTTTACTCCCATCAGTCAGCAGTTTTGAGTCCCTAGGAGGCCTTTGACGTGGCGCTGTTTATCAGCATTCTAGACTTGTCAGCATGGATCTGACACACTTAAAGCCTTATACTGCGCATGTAGCCCTCCCCGTTGTGTTCAGTGTCATGGGCATCCACCTTTTCTCACTCTCTTTAAAAACTGCCAGGAAGGGACGCCTGGGTGGCTCAGTCGTTAAGCGTCTGCCTTCGGCTCAGGTCATGGTCCCAGGGTCCTGGGATCGAGCCCCGCATCCGGCTCCCTGCTCAGCGGGAAGCCTGCTTCTCCCTCCGCCACTCCCCCTGCTTGTGTTCCCTCTCTCGCTGTGTCTCTCTCTGTCAAATGAATAAATAAAATCTTTAAAAAAAAAAAAAAAATACATAATTGACTCTTGAACAATTTAAACTGTGCCTGTCCTCTTCCATGCAGAGGTCTTTCAGTGAACAGTGTGCCGTAAATGTATTTTCTCATCCTTATGATCTTCGGAGTCACATTGTCTTTCCTCTAGCTTGCTCTGCTATAAGAATACAGTGTGGTGTACATAGAGCTCATCAACTTTGCTATCAGTAAGGCTTCTGGTCAGCAGTAGGCTATTAGGAGTTCAGTTTGGGGGGGACAAAAGTCATATGCAGATTTCCAAGTGCAGGGTCGGGGGTCAGGGTCCCTCGCCCCTTGTCGCTCAGGAGTCCGTTGTCTGTGGGAAGCGAACATCAGGGTTGGGGTCCCACGCCCCTTGTCGCTCAGGAGTCAGTTGTCTGTAGGAAGCGAACGTCAGGGTCGGGGTCCCACGCCCCTTGTCGCTCAGGAGTCCGTTGTCTTTGGGAAGCAAACGTCAGGGTCGGGGTCCCACGCCCCTTGTCGCTCATGAGTCATTTGTCTGTGGGAAACGAACGTCGGGGTCGGGGTCCCTCGTCCCTTGTCGCTCAGGAGTCAGTTTGTGGGAATCAAACGTCAGGGTCAGAGTCCCTCGTCCCTTGTCGCTCAGGAGTCAGTTGTCTGTGGGAAGCGAACGTCGGGGTCAGGGTCGGGGTCCCTCGCCCCTTGTCCCTCAGGAGTCAGTTTGTGGGAAGCGAACGTC